AAAAACAGGCCTTGTCCCCGAAAGTGATAATAGTCTGAAAACCCCCCTTCAAAAAGCAATTGAGTATTATTTGAAATCCAGGCATGGATGGCCGTTGGTTACAATTCTAGCTCTCCAAGACACCCCTCATGTTTTTAATAATAATCGCAAAGTCTGACGCTGTTTCAACCTGCAACATGATAGGTTCTCCATCTACGCTGACTGCCACATACGTTCTATCTTCGCAACTCCTTTTTTTATCCCATTACATCCATTACATAAATGATAGACCTTTTCTAGACCTGAAATATTCTTACGCTGAAACCTTTAACACCCCCACTGCACCGATATTATTCTCCATATTTAGGTATTATTCTACCTCTGTAGACAGGTTGTTTTTCACTTAGAAAAAAACTCCCTATCCTGCACACTATCGACTAAACATAAAGCTAAAAAAACCAATAATGACTGCAAAAGAAGGGGTCTGTTTTAGGTTTTTTCCTGTTATCCAAGGTTATTGATGGTTCCCAAGAGGTACCTTACCAATAAACCTCATTAGTATCCCCTTCCTGAACAGAGCGATTTATTGCGACAATGTGTAGCCTTATGATCGAGTCGGTTATATTGACAACACCCAGTCCGATAAGGGTAATCTGCTGCAAGGGACCACCTGGCACACTGCCAACATGCTGCTTTTGTTTGCCTTGGGGAAATAAAATTATCCCTCGGTTTGTTGACTCTTGTACCCTTTACACGTACTGGCTGACTGCTTTTTCCCGAGCAATATAATATTCGTTTTTGGTGTTCATAATTCAAACACACTTACATTCTACCTCTTTTACCTTAATTTCAGTTCACTGATCTAATTGAGCAAGGAGCAGTGTGCGGATATCAGAATCCTCTGGAAGCGTTAAGGCTTTAATAAATGGTAGGGCATTCATCTGCTGGCTAGTAATATTTTGTAGACCCGCTTGAAGATACACACCATTAAGTCGGCCGGCTAAGTCATGTAATCTTCCTCCGGTTGCCTTTTTAGTTTCAAATTTTTTACCACCTGTGGAAGTAAACATGGACTTCACGTATTTAACTGTGAACGTAAATGAAGTATTAACAAACTTCTTCGGTAAGACATAGTTAACCTACCATCTAAGTTCTAGCTGATGTAGTTTGAGTGGCATGATATTCACCTTTGTATTAAGTTCAATTTGCGCTCATTCTTCAAACAGCCCTTTATGTTTTCGAAAACAGGCTTCAAAATACACGCATCAGTCCGGATAGTAGATGATTCCTGTAATCCATTCCTCGATCGGATTTCTTTTGTTCTCCGAGGATGCTGGTTCCAAATTTTGCCGCATTTCTTTGAGTTATGCCACTAGGCTGGCCTGCTAGGCTTCCAATATGTATTTCATCTGTTCTTCTGATATATTTGTCCTACAGCTGCGTCGCAAGGTGTTATACTCCAACCATTAGGTGAAAAGTACAGGGAGCCCATTTCTAGGAACAACCACTTTATTCAAAGTCAACAAAAACAAGAGAATAGTCAGCTCATCAGCTTATGCTTATTTATGGGGTCCTAACCTTTCAAGAGTATTCGGCATTACAGCGTGACACAGACTGCTTGGTCGTTTTCCACGCTGAAATACTCAAGTACTTTGGCCGGAAGCGTGAGCCGGTAGCACGAAT